AAGTACTAGGCAGGGCCGAGCTGCAGCATCTGCACGCTGCGCTTGGGCGGGAGGGGGGGCGGAGGGCGCTGGCGGAGCTGAGGGAGGAGTACAAGAAAGGCGGCCCCGCGGGTCGCGTGTGACACACCAAGCCTAGTTTTCGTTATTTGGGGGGGTGGGGCGGGGGCGGGGGGCGTTACTGACACACATAAAAACGTAAACTCAACGCAGAGTTTTGTGGTAGTTGCTATTTGGTTCATTTAATTGAAGCAACGTGCGATCGGCGGGCGCGGGAGGATTGCGTCTGCACTGGGGGAGAAGGCAGCCGACTGGATAAAGGGGGCTGTTGGTATTTAATTGAAACTGCTTAAACCGAACAATGCTGGTGTGTGCTGGCGTGGTGTGTCGGGTGGTGACACCTCGTGTGGGCTTCGGGGTGGTGTGCGCTGCAGATGCTGCAGGCCTGTTTCCCAGCGCAGCTGTGCTGGGAAGTGGGCTGCTGCTCTTAAGGCAGGGTCGTGAAGCCCAGCAACATCTGTTCAGTCACCTGTGAGGAGATCCCGCTGGAAGAAACATGCCATTCAGATACAGAACTCTTCCAGCACACATGTGCTCTAAAGTCACAGTGGAGTTTCGGCGCTTGTGTCGCACATGGTTATATTGCGCGCTTGACAACATCCTGGAAGATCACCTCGCATGGCAGTGCATCTGTGTGACATTCTGAAGCGACCGCAAACTGTTTGGTTGTCCCGCACAATGCTATGCCGTGTGTGAGTGGTGCTGGCAGGGCAGGCCGCACGGCTCATGCAAATACCTGCAATGACAAGATCTGGTCCACTCTCCACGCGCTGTTCGCATGGCCAAGCCGTCTAGAACGACATGTTGCAAAGCGAGAGGAATTGATGATTGGCCCACCTGCGTCCCACGTTGGGCACTGTTGCGGGATGGGCCATGCCCTTGTTCAGGCCACCAGAAACGAATGGTACCGCCAACACTTCTTGAGCATTGCCTGAAAATTTCCTGACAGGAACTTCCATGTTCCTCCGTGGGTGTGCTAAGCGCAGCAGGACATTAAAACCCTGGGTTCGGTCTGTACCAACTGTGTGTGTTGTGGGGACCCGTCTGGTATCTTGCACTTTCGAGCCGGGCTCTGGAGCGAACCCTTACCCACAGGCGCAGAAAATTCCTGCCAAGCTTCTCCACAGCACAAACCTTTCCAGTCCAGCATTGGCTTTTGCGGCCGAAGGCCGTTTCCTTTTTTCCATCTACCACCTACTCATCCCTCATAATTCTCGTTTTCAGTCACAGCCAGAGCTTGTCTCTGATTTGCGAAGCAAACTTGACTTTGTTTCTTTGTATCGTAATGGTTGGACGGCAGCACAGCGCTTATGCTGTCCACACAAAGGTCTCATTTTATCCCATCATTCAGTCTCAGGCTGAAGGGTAGGACAAAAAGGGACTGTTATGTGGACTGTCATTTCTAGTTGCATCTCTTTTATGAAGTAGCTTATCTATGGCCACTTAGCTAGCCAATCATTCTAAAGATAGCCCGCTAATCGCATCCTGTCAGAACATCCCTTGTTCGTGTCTTTATGCCCAATAAACATTGTTAGCGCAATGAATACTGGTAAGATCCACTGGTAACCAATTGCTTGCTAATGTGAATCCACATCCATTTGCTACGTTGTTGCCCAAGATATTTACAACTGCCATGCGGAGGTGCTTTCGCTCGCTATTTTATCTCATATCTCCATGGTAGCAACTATCAACATCAATCGTGTTACTTGCAGTGTTCTCATGGCCAATTTCCCGCATTCTCTTCCCATCTTACCACGAGTTGCAGTTTGCCTCATGTATTGCTCGTCAAGGAGAGTACCTGGCAATTGACATGTGCTGAAAGATTCGTTTCAGACTGGCCCCTATTTGCCCGTTTTTTGCATCTGTGCTGGCTTGTCCGTTTTTGCAATACCAAATCGACGTCTGGTTAGGCTAACACCACAGCCATGTTGCAAGCTAGAGCTTAAAATCGAAGAGCTTTGCTGAAAGTCGTAGGTCTCAGCCCGAGAGTCTCAGGTAGCCAGTGCAAGCCCCAAGCGCCAACCGCAAAGCATTACTGGATCTCACAATTCAGCATGCACTGGATCTCACAGTTCAGCATGCACACATTGTTGCTGACATTCAGTTTGCAGTACAAGCTCTTTGTGGAGTTCAATGTCCTCTCAGCATCTCATCGTCTTCAAACAGTCTTAAACTGTTCGTGCTGTACAACCTGAACGCAACTTCATTTCTCCCCTTGCGTATGCTATCCCCAGTTTTACACCTTTCCCCTTAAGTTCGTAACACTCTGACAAACAGTTTTGAGTCCAGACTCAATTGGCAGAGATCTCTGGCAGCTCGCGCTGCGCTATTTACCGGAAGTCATCCATGCCCCCGGAGTTCGGCAGCCCTCTGTCTTTCTTCACTTAAACTGATGTCAACCACACGTGGGGGCCATTCTTCGTCAATGGGCCAAACCAACCCACATGTGGCGGCGGCGGCGTGGATGGGGGACAAAAAGATGTACAAATTTGTTACCTCCCCCTCTCCCATTCCCTCCACAGCGGGGCGCCCACATTGGCCACACGTCCCCCCCACCACCATGACGCCATTCGCCAACGCGCCCACTGCTCACAGTGCGCCGCAGCTTCCGCCACAGCAGCGGCGCCCCCACCCCCACCCCCCCGCTCGCCGCTCCGCGCCGCCCGGCCCCGACCGAGCAGCTCCCAAGCCCGCCAAGCCGCCGGACCTCGACCGGATGCGGCGCATCCTCCCCGGGCACTGAACCGGCGAAAGCGCCAGGAGGGCTGTGCGCTCGGCGGGAGGTGTTGCGTCGATCAGATATCGGATCGGATCCGATCTTCCCGCCGAGAGGTGTGGGGGCGAAGGAGAGAAGGGCCACGAGTTTGAAGGAGAGCTGGAGAGGCCTTTTGTGAGGGCTTCGCATATTGAAGGCGGAGGCGGAAGGCCTGCCGGCGGAGAAGGGGCCAGGCGGCGGCGGCGATTGACCAGGAGGGAGCGGGCAAGGGCGGCGAGGATGAACAGGTGGGTGTATTGCATTGTGCGTGTGCATTGCACTGCATGTTTGTGCGGCATGGGAGCGGGGGGCCGCAGGGGATGTGCCAGTTGCGGTTGCGGGGGAGGGCGGGTGGAGGTCGCAGGGGGGTGGGCGGGGGGTGGTCGCCGTTCTGCCGTGGGGCCGGCCGGCCGGGATCGACTGGCGGGATGGAGGCGGAGACGGAGCCGACCGAGGCGGTTGGATCGGCGGGCGGGGCGGCGGCGCGCGGTGGTGGGGAAATGCTGAGGCGGGTCGGGAGGCGGTGGGGAGGCCTTTGCGCGGAGACCTTTTGTTCGGGGTGCGCGGACACGGGCGGGACGCCGCCAGCCGCGGCCCTTGTCGGCGCGCCCTTGCGGTGGGAAAGGGGACGCCTGCCTGGGGTTTTGGCGTCCGGTTGCGGGGAACTGGGAAGCGAGTGAACGGGCGATGCGGCCAGAAGCTTTGGACGGCTGTGACAAGGTTGGGCATGCTTGAATGCCAGGAACACTGCGTGTTGCCTGTCAAGGACAGGATGGACTCCGTTTGTGGACGCTGTGAGCGCTCCGGTGGCAGGGGTCTGCAGCCCCTGGGGGCGCTCAGCCCAAGAGAACGTACGATTTTCAGAAGCGCGATAATCACAAAGAGCGAGTTATGATCGCAAATTGCCCGAAAAGCAAAGGAACTACCAGGGCAGCTGGACGCCGAGTGGATGGCCGTGTGTGTTGCTTTTGAATTTGACGTGTGTCGACCAGTGTTGATCGAAGGCCGTGTGTGCAGCGTTCCAACAGCAAGTCCCGTTTTCTTTTGCTTTTCGGTTTCCTGAGGGTGACGTCACGTTAGGAGTGAAGGGTGCTGTTGTGCCGCCAGCAACACTGGCGTAAAGTGGCGCCCAGAAGTTCTTGACGTGCCAAGGAGCAGCCCCGCTTAAACAACGCGGGATGGCGTTCATCAATTGCAAAAAGAGCATGAGACGGAGGAGAACGTAAGCCGTTCTCAAACGCTGATATCCACAAACGTGCGTCCGTTACTAACAAATGCGTGTGAATAGCAATGCCTGTGCAATGGGCATTTCCGTGAACGCAGCATGCCGGCCGCTCGACAGTCTTGGACATTGGGCCCCAGCTCGCCGCCAGCCACATCCAAAAATACCTGGAAACGACATACTTCTATGTTCTAAGAAGTATTTCTTGAAAAGCGGCCAGGCATCACGATGAAGAAAGCGTCACTTGTTGCTATTTCGGCACGCGGTTTACCGCTCACGCACGCAATTTTTCATGATTGATCTTTCGGGTTGATTTGTGTGCTGAATTCGGGAGAATTGTGCGTATTATTGTTGGGCGGGTTTCTTAGTGCGTTGAAGGAATGGGAGCTCCCTGATTGGCACGCTCTGGTGCGCAGGTACAAAGTCATCAAGCAGCTCGGGGACGGGACGTATGGGGCCGTCTGGAAGGCCATCAACAGGCAAACAAATGAGGTGGTGAGTGCAGCGCTGCACTGCTGCCTGGACGTCGGTGCCTTTCCCGACGACGCAGCCTGGGAGGGCAACGCGAAATGGCCGAAACACGTGTGGCGGCAGTTTGTCCCTCTCTCATTGCCGAGGCCCTGGCCACGGGGGGATCCTGGCTACAAATTGAGGAAGAAATGGCGCGACACAGTGTATTTGATAAATAGCAAGTCTTATCCCGCCGTCTTGCCAGAAGAATCTGTGTCCCCTTTTAGACGCACGCCACGGCGCTCTAAAATCCGTTGGCGCAGCTTCGCACTAATTACGGCGGCCGTACTACGGTCCACTGCAGCTGCCCTCCCCCCGGCAATATGAACACAGCCGTATGATGCGACCGTGTAATACGGTCTTGCAAATACGGTCCGTATATATTTCACACATATATTTTACCTATTATAGTATACTAGCACACTTCATTCCGAGGGGCTGCGCTTCACGGCGCCGATGATGATTCGCCAGGTGGCCATAAAGAAGATGAAGCGAAAATTCTATTCCTGGGACGAGTGCATGAACCTGCGGGAGGTCAAGTCGCTCCGGAAACTGAACCACCCGTGCGTCGTCAAGCTAAAGGAGGTCATCCGGGAGAACGACGAGCTGTATTTCGTTTTCGAGTTCCTGGAATGCAACCTGTACCAGCTGATGAAGGACCGCTCCAAGCTCATTCCCGAATCCAGAATTCGGAACTGGACGTACCAGATATTCCAGGGCCTGGCGTACATTCATAAGCAGGGGTTCTTCCACAGGGACATGAAGCCAGGCAAGCGCCTCTTGTCCTCCGACTGCTCGTTTCTGCCGGGCGCCACAACACCCGGTCGAAGAAAATGGGACAATCCGCAGCGTCTGACAGGACGAAACTCCAACGCAAAAATTAAGTACGCAAGACAAATTTAACATAATACGTGCAGGTGATTGCGCCTTTCTCTGCTCATTTTGGCCAGTATGGTGTCGCGAAGAATGCGCCGATCCTGGGACTTTCAGTTTGTGTTCCTAAGCGATTTGGCGGGTCAATGCGGTCCACGGTCCTGGGGGCCCTAAAGGGCCTAAGCACCTTGTGCGTGTGGCGAGCAGAGAACCTGCTTGCCTCCAAGGACTGCGTGAAGATTGCGGATTTCGGGCTCGCAAGGGAGGTGCGATCCCGCCCCCCCTACACCGACTATGTGTCTACCAGATGGTGAGTTAACATTTAGTTCTGCATCGTTTATTTTCATTATACATTGCCAATTTTTTGGTCCACATTCATCATTTTATGCTTTGCTGTTGCGCCTATCGGCCATACTGCCCCCTTCCCCGCAACCAATCATCATCATCAAAATCCATGGACTACATTGTCACAAAATGACAAAACACAGCCCGTGCACCTGTTAGGCGATGATGGGCGTGAAAACCAAGCAGATAGTGTGTTCCCCGCAACCAATACTTGTGAAGAAACAGTAGCAAGTCAAAAAAAATGAAATTCATTGACGCGCCTGGTGCCTTTATCTTTTGGACTTCAAATTATTGCATCACATGGAATCAAGAAGCAAACAAGTGTACTCTTGGTGCCTGTTGGCCAGCCAGATTGTGAGTACAAGTCTTTTGTTTCCGGTTCTCGACTTGGGCGCAAGATTGAAGCTTACTTCGGCATGGCTTTTATGGAGCCGCGCCCCTTTCCGAAGTAAGCAAACACATTCAAATGATATAAATAAAGTTGCTACCTCTGCACACATTGCAGGGAAAGAATGCAGAGCCAAAACCGGCTATTTCGTACAATTCATTCACCGTTGACTTCCAAGCCTTTATCGCCAAACACAATTATGGAGCATATGGTGAGCAGAAGTATAGATTGTAAGAGCGAAGCACCAGGCGCACGACTAGCGCAGCACGCGATATACCGTATGTGACCGCGACCGTACTTTTTTGATACTATTTTGCGCCAATGCTCCTAACACGCCAGTTTTGTTCCGCCCGCAAGGTATCGGGCGCCAGAGGTGCTGCTTCGGTCGCCGTACTACAACGCCCCGATCGACCTCTTCGCCATGGGGGCCATCATGGCAGAAGTGTACACGCTGAGGCCACTGTTCCCCGGCAGCTCGGAGGTGACGTAATGGAACAATTTCGTGGCACCAGTGATGGGTGCCTACACGTACTTTTCAAACGGCACTGGCACTAAATTTCGACAAACAGTAGACAATTTTCTTGAGGAGCTCCTGTATTTCCATAGCATTCGATGCAAGAGACAGGTGCAGAATTTCCCAATCAGCGTATTTATCGACTTTTTGTTTATTGCGCGTTAATAAGTAATGCGAACAAGCTTCTGGCACACTTGGAGAACCGGCACAAATCGTGAAGATATGCTGCAGCTCTTGCAAATCACTTACTCGCAGCTGTAATTTCGTCGGGTATTTATTTGACATTTCCTTCAAGCATTTCATGCACTTCAATGCCTCTGCCCAGCCAGAGATCACGCCTGAGCGGAGGAGTTGCCATCGGCGGCAACGCGGGTGCACCCCGTGTTGTTGCACCTAGCCATTTTGTTAAATTCTTCAACACCGACAGCCATTCTTACACGAACATTCTGCTGCTTCCCTGCCTGCAGGCCGACCAGATATATAAGCTGTGCAGCGTGCTGGGCACGCCCACGCGTCAAAACTGGCCGGAGGGGCTCCAGCACGCGGCGGCCATGCATTTCCGGTTCCCGCAGTTCGCGCCAACGCCCCTGTTCAAGATCATCCAGAATGCCTCGCAGGAGGCGCTGGACCTCATGGGGGCCCTGTGCCACTGGGACCCCAATCGACGCCCCACGGCGGTGCAGTGCCTGCAGCACCCGTACTTCCAGGCACGTTCCGGGCACATTCCAGGCACGTTCCGGGCACAGTCTGGCTGTTTTGGGCGCAAGGGGCGGAGAGCGAGATTTGATCCATAGCTATCATATGCGGGTGTGAAGGTCATGAAGGGTACCAGGGCCATAAAAATCCGAAACCCTAAACCCCCAAAAGCTGAAAATATAAAAGCTGAAGGCCCTTGAAAACCTCGGAAATGGCCCTCATGACATTTATGTCCGGAAATGAAGGGTATTGGACACTTGTGCGGAGGGTTGTAGCTGTGGGTCTTACTAAAATTTTCTGTAGAGATGATTCGTATGCTTATGATTGGCTGGCAGGGAGAGATGCGCGGCACATAAGGCGTTGAAGCGGTAGTGGTGGCCCATGAGGCGATGCGTCGCCAATGTTTCCATTCACAGGCAGTTTCCGGCGTGTTGCACTGTTGTGTAAATTAGCTCACAACGCTTGTTGCGCAGCGTACCACTCGTGGGACATTAAGTCCAGTGGCTGGCACAGAGAGAGTAATACGCATTAAGCCAAGCAATTGGCACATGCCACATCGGCGTGATGGTGTGTATTTGTACATATACATACAGTTTGTATTGGTTATGTGCACTGTTTGTAAACATCTTTGGGCATATCATGGCTGGTGATGCATCCTGCGTGTGTGCGAGGATTCGTGCATTAGCTCCGTGCATTGATACTTCGTGCGTAGATATTCGTACACCAGTGAGCTGGGCAGAATTATTAGGCCCAGCGCTAGTAGACTTGCTGTTGATTTTCCCTCGCTGTCCGCGCTCGACATGAGCCCTGAACTGTGCACGTTTTCGCTCCAATCGATTTGTTCTGTATAGGTTTCACGCATGGTTTTCCCAATGTCGCAGGTAGGAATACGGCCTCCGCCACCGCTTAAGTCTCCCATGAAACGGCAAGAGAGGGGAGTAAAGCGCATGAGCTCAGGTGCGCAGATCAGGGGCTGTCTGCAGAGGCGCATTCAATGCCCGTGCAGATGCTTCTGGGCCTGCCTCAAATGGGGGCTCCAAAACATGTCGGTTGTGCGGGCGCTTTGGTTCGTTCTTGGCCTTTCCGTCTTGCAGGCTTCCTCATGGAGTTGCGCATCGAGCTGCCGCACTCTCCCTTTTATGGATTTGTTATGGTGTCCTGACGCTGTTTGATTCCGTGATTAAACACGTAAGCAATTTAATAAGCATTATAATTATGTAATTAAAATGAGCACGTTTCACGTGACCGCATGAGCGCGACAGGCGGCCTCCCTCGGTCCACCCAAGCCTTCACACTCTCCAACATCTGTACATGAATTGAATTGAAGAATGTGAATTGAGAATTAGCGCATTCTGAACAACTGAATGTGAATTGCAAATCTGAATCGGAAGCAACTTCGAACCCAGGCGTTCGAATGCGCTTGAGCTCGTTGTTCACACGTTCAAATCCTTTGGTCCCTGAAGTTTTCCTGCGTGTTGTCTCAGACGGCGTCGGCGACAAGAGCGAGTGGGAGCTGCCCTCCATACCCTTGCGGAACCCGCGGCCGTCTCACGCGGGGGGCCCGGAGCCGCTGGGCCCGGGGGTCCCCCCGGCGGCCCCCACCTTCAAGCCCTCCCACGCGCCCCTGCCCGCCGCCCTGCCCGCCGTGCAGCCCAGCTACGTCCGGAACGCACGTTACCGGCCGGGCGTCCGGCCGCTACTAGCAAAGGGCAATTCCTTCCAAAAGGGTGGGGCCCCCGGGGAGCTGCCGCCCCTAGGGCGGGACAGTGGGAATTCAAATTTAAATATAAATCCGAATTCGATTTCGAGTTCGAAGGCACGGGGCGCATTCAACGCCATGGCCTTCAACATGGAGGCCGCGGGGCATGGGCGGATAGCAGTGCCGGGGCGGTACGGGTTCCCCCAGAGGTGACACCCGGGAGGGCGGGTGGGAGAGAAGGGGGAGGGGGGGGGTTTGGGGTATACTAATACTAATAGGAAGGGAGGGCGTTTGTGTCACTAACACTTACGGGGGGGAGTCTCCAAGTAGTTGGGGTGGCACCAGCGAGGATGTTACCGCTCGGATTAGGGACTTGAAGGCGTTGCGCGGGCAGAACACCGTTTCGGAGATAAGTGGCGCCAGCTTAGGAATTTGTGGTACTGTGTAGTGCCGCAGAGAACTGTGCCTTTCTTGCAGTTTTAGGGAAGGAAAGCGACCAGTTGTGGGGCCCAACGGACCAATTTGAACGTGGAGCGATGCCGCAGCACTCCGATATAGAATCGACGTTAGTGTGCTGTGCTTCTTCGTCTCCACCAAACGCGCTCGATTGGCGTAGGAGCTGGGGACATTGGCCTCCTGCTGTCGTGGGTAGCGCGACGTTTTTGGGGCTGATCGCCCCGTGGCGCTCTCAACGCGCAGCTGGAACGCCGACCACGGTTTGGGCTGGTCGCCGATGTTCGGTGTGGCTCATCAGGTGGGGACGTGGAGGTAGCTCGCCCCCGCTCTTGCGGCGTGTGGCGAAGGAGAGGTGGATGATGATGGATGGAGCGGGACTTGGGTGCCTCGCCAAAGCGATCTAGGGACTGGCCACGGTGTTCGGTGGGGAGGCCCATCGAGAGTGCCGCCGGCCGCCGGCCAATCCCCCGCCTCCAAGTGGTGGCCTTTCCGTCTTTGTGCACTTTGGTTTGCGGTTGACTGCTCCCACAGTGGAAGACCCAAGGCGGCGCGTGCGTGGTCTGTTGAATGCTCGCTGCGTTTACCGCATCGAAGGCACCAAAACCCTGATGGTAGCCGTGGCGACGGTGTGGATTGCGCATGTTGAGCTAGGAATGACCCTTGTACTGAAGGGAATACGTGTGCAGGCTGGTTTATTTACGCCGCAGACACAGGTGGCATATACGTCCTTGCGAAAAATACATTTTACTCATAACTTTTTACGTTTTTACGCATAAAAATAGTTTTTACGTTTTTTTACATGAAAATGCGTAAAAATACGCAAGTACAACGTAAATACACGTTCCTATACGTAAAGTCAGTACATATAGACTTAAGGAGTCCGGGGAGTGGCAGCCAAACGCGCTGGAGTGGGCAGAAAACGCACTTTTGCTCGACGTCGTCGTTGCCCTTGCCGAGAACCAGGTGGACGCCATGTTGCATATGCTCGAGTGGACGGAGGATTGATTGTTGCACCCGACTTTCACCGTGTAAACTATATTTCACAGCGAGCCATAAAAACGTAAACACAGCCGTAAAAATAGCCCCTTTTGCAAATTTGCGTTTGTACACGTAAAATCCTAAACGCAAATATGTAATCCACTAGGAAACAAAGGCCATATAACATCTTCAAATGTGTACAAGTTTTACGGGTTTGGGTTATTTCCGTGTTTTTAGCATGCAGAACACTGATGAAATGCATATATGTGTGTTCGCAAAATGGCCCTTTTTCTGCTAGTGAACGTAAACATAAATAACAAGCCTGCGAGTGTGTCACACTGTGCTACAGTCCCAAGAAAACCACAGCATAAAACGAGCATCCCCTTCCTTGAAACGATACGACTGGCTCTTTTCCCCTTTGCGGCGCTGCAGGGCCGCCGAAGGCAAGAATGAAAACGAAAGCAAGTATGAGTTCGTATGAGAAGCACAAACATTGGACCCCGGGGTGTCCGCCAGTGTGTATGCCTGTGCGTGTGCTCATCTTCGCTATGGCGTTTCATGTATGACGACGCGAAACGACGCACGTTCGCTGCTCTCCACGCATGCATTGTTTGGGGACCTCGCCTCGAAGCACATGTGAAGAGCATCTTCCTTTTAAATGTGCATGTTACTGTAGTACATAATGCTGTTGATTGCATGCCTGTACTTTGTGTATTTTGTGTTTCGGCTGAAGGGAGAACTACGACGTTCGAACCTCGAAGAGCCGGCCCGCAGCTGAGACAAAAATTGTAAATTTCGATAAATCAATGAATTTCCTCCGTTTCATAGCATCTTGGCGACCGGTGGCATCGGATGCATCACCTAATTTACAACGTTATGCGCATAAATGGTTTATAATGTACACAGTTGATGAGGATAAATACCTCGCGAGCTCCGCATTCCTATCCAGTAGGTATGATACCACAGTAACACATCACCTGGTGGCAACCAAAAGATATCGCAAGCAGGCTTAGTTTTTACGTTTATGTCATGTTTACATTTTCATTTTTACGTTTTTACGCGTAAAAACGCAAATTTGCAAAAGGGCCTATTTTAACGGCTGTTTTACGTTTTTGCGGCTCTCTGGGACACCGAGGTTACACGATGAAAGTTGCGTACAATGATCATTCCAGCCGCTGGACTCCAGCGCCATCTCAAGCACCCGCAACACAATGTCCACCTCGCCCTTGGAAAGAGCTATAATGACGTTTGACAAAAACTCGTTTTCTGCCCTTTCCAGGGCGTCTAGCTGCCACTCTTCGGACTGCGTAAGTCTGTATGTACTGTTCTTATGCTCACCAGGCAGTTTTTACGTTGTAATTACGCATTTTTACGTTGGAAAACGTAATAAAAACTATTCTTATGCGTAAAAACGTAAAAACTATTTTACACATACAAACGTAAATACGATCAGTTTTTACGGCGTAAAAACCAAGCCTGATCGCAAGAAGTACTTCACGCCAAGTTAATAAACGGAAGTAGCAAAATTTTGAATACTTGCAATTGAAACAAAAATACGTTCTAACTTGTCATAAATATATTGTAGTATATTTTTAGATTGATTATAGCACATTTTGCTTTTGCATCAGCATTAACCATTGGCACAGCCTTCCTGGTATTCCGCACCCACACACTCCCAAGGAGAAAAGAGAGAAATGACGGGGCCCATTGCGTCGCAACTCCCATCGCCCCCTCGCACTCCGAGAACCAGCTAAGTTAGTCTCAATTCGATATACTAGCCCCCAAAAACACATCATCAAGAAAATGTTGTACAACCAAGTATTATAAAGTACTAAACGTGGGCCGGTTATCCGAAAAATAGTGTTAAAACAGTTTCAGTCAGCCAGAAGCGTGACAGAAACTAGCCCTGTAGACAACCCAACCGCCCCACCGGCCCGCCGCCCTGTCAAACGGTCCCCCAAGCCA